TGGTGCTGCGGCATCTGTTGCGGGAAGAACCTATGTTTGGCGACATTACAGAGAGACAATTTCCAGTATAAGCTGATCTCGCATTGTATAGGCTTTCCGTACAATGAAATCAGATGTTTTTTTTTTTAATTTCAATAGCCTAGCGAATCATCCTAGGTAGCAATCGGTGTTCTTTTGCGAGGATTTGTGGTCTATCAAATCTAATGTAATGACAGCGTTGATCTTGAAAGTGTTCGTGTGTCATCGGTGCTTCACGTCAGCTATAGTTTTTTTACGCGAGCTTTTATAGATTTTTTTGTTTGTCGTATGTACGAGAGACCACATTCACAATCAAGCTTGCTCACTCCTGCATCTTGTAGAGAGATATTGCACTTGACGGATAGAAAAAATTGACTAATCTTCTTCGGTGGCTTGTAGTAGGTTTGAATAAAAGCTTTCTTCAAGATGTAGCCAACCTTGTCTGTGACTCCTCTTAAGTATGGTAGTACAGCGGGCACATGGTCGACCGTGGCCGGCTTCACTCGGTCACTGTGACGTAGGCGTGGAAGCCGAAGCGTATTGTCTTGCAATGCTTGCTTGACGTGCTGAAGCTCCGTGACCAGATGTTTTCTGTCACAGATACCTTATGTTCTTTGAAACAAAGATTTTCCCACGGTAGCTAACTGTGATGAATCGTGGTGAGAATCACCGTTTAAATATCGGTTGGTATGGGTCTTATATTTACACAGTGTGACCAATAGATGTAGGTCACAAAAGATTTTTGTCGCTAGCTCTCCTACTACTATGTTTAGGTTTCACTTCCACCGCGTGTTAACTGCACACATTTTTTTATCCACTCAGCGGCCTTGAGCTTCGGCAATGTATATAATACATCAGCAGACTGCCTCGTTGGTCATGTGGTTGTAGTAGTGCGACTGCTGATCACGAGGTCCTGGGTTTGAATCCCGATTCGGGCTAAAGAAATCAATTATTGAGGTTATTTGTCCAGAAATTCTCAGTAGCTGCCCGGAGTCAGGAAGTTGGCGGTGTCTCATCACCGTACCTCGGAAAGAACGTAAAGCCGTTGGTCCTGTACCTGATCTCTTTCTGGTCATGTCAGTTCACCTTCCTATCGGATTATGAGAGTGAGAGAATAGAGAGTGCACCTGTGGTTGCGCTAACACTTGTGTGACTTGGGCACTATAATCCTGTCATCGGTGCAGCCGATGGCTTGTCTCCGTTGAGGTAAACCGCCTTGACCGAAATTCGATCTGGAGGACATTATAACACGTCAGCGTATTGTGAACAAAATACAAATCAGACTAGGCTGTATGGAGTAAGACTTTTGCCTCTGTCTGAGTCTTTAAAAACGTTAGTTTCTCAGTTTCTCTATCTAGTCTGTGGTCTCATGAGTTTGAATTGCTGTGAGCCAGCAGCCAGCCGTATACATATTTTATTGGTTGAAATTTAGAATCGTTTGGCAGGAATTTGGGGGAGTAAGGTGTTTTATTTGGTAGATGTTTGGTCCCCGATTATAATAATACCACTCCCATTAAAAGGTAATGCACCGTTCTTGAGAAAAATCAAAAAAAATCCCATAGAACTAACCTCAAAATCATAACTCAAAATGAATTAAGGGGATGGGAGTGGTGGAGAGGGAGGCGGGGGAGTTGTAGAGTCGCCCGCCACTTCCACATCCTACTAGAGGTGGGAAACGAAACGGTCAACGAAACTAGACCGTCTATTGCCGTCCATCGACTAGGTGATCAACTAGTTGAATTCGTCGACTAGTTAACGCGATAACGGCAGACGTTCAATCGACTAAAGCGCGGTGTCTACGGGCGCAACGCAACGACGACTGTGTCTTAACTAGTTTTGCCCACTATTCGACAGTTGAATGAACTGCAAAGTAAGTTAAAATTCAAAGAAATTTGATTTGAGCACAAAGCACTCTGACTGGTGTATAAATACCTACCATCGAATTGTACAATCAATCGATTTAAACTTCCCTTCGTACTTTTCCAGGCTTAGGACAGGCTGAAAACTTTTCGAAAAGATTTTACTACTATGGTATTTCAGGTGTATCAGAGATACGATAAGATAAGATCAACTGATTTTATGTACGTATATTTAATTATTTACATTTTTTATTTACATATTTTTATGGATACGTGTTTTAATGAATATTTTTATTTGCTTTTTTTTGTTTTCGTTTTTTATTAATGTATGTACAGAAGAATCATGTAATTTATTTTATAAATGAATTTAAAACCCTTTAAATCTCTCCTCAGGTGTATTTACGTTTAGGAACATAATTTGCTCAACTTTGCTTGTCGTTAGTCTCGTTCGCCTTTTATTAATTGTGAGACCTGCTTTAGAAAACATCCGTTCGCAAAGAACAGGTGTTGCTACAATGTTACAATGGATTACAAATATTTATTTTAAATTTGGGTAGACGTATTGATGTTTTCTCCACCATTCAAGGTGGCACGCCAAATGTCCCATCTGGTCCTTTCTTGGAAGAATTTCTTTAGCTTTGACCTTGCGACGCGAGTCGACACACTAATTTCAAATTTCTAAACAACGGCAACGTTTAGGCACTGTAATTTTATGTAAACAATAGTCCACCAGACCGTTGACATACCCTTTCGCGCAATATCAGAATGCTCTTGCCTTTTCACTCAAACAATTCTATTAAAAAAGAAATATTAACTCCTACGTGATATACTTAAGGTTTAAATTGGTTTGTTCAATGATACCAATTCAACCAACGCATGCACTTATATTAACCGGGTATGTTTACGGCGTCGTCGTTGCGTTGTCAATAGATAAGAACGCTGTGGATTCTCAGTTTAGCCGTCTATGAATTCGACTAGTTAACGAATAAACTGTAGACCGTCGAAGCGTCGATTAAACGTAGACCGTCTATTTAAACCGTTCGTTGATTCAACGCCCATCATTACATCCTACTGGACTTGCTTAGGTTTTTTTTTCATAAATTTTTAAAAATCTAATTTTGAGGTTATGTTTTTGTAATGTTTTTGACTATAATCTTGATTTATGGGGGGAGAGAGTTGGAGGAGGGAAGCACCACGTAGCGCATTAAGGGAAGGCCGATCAGATCAGATATCTTATAGTCAGGTTGCCTTTGCTCCCGCCACAGACACAAAATTCTGTATGCTATCCAGCTTTCACAGTAATATCGTATAATTTTTTCTCAGAAAGTCTAGAACCCAGAGCCGTAAATTCAGTTAAATAACCTAATAATAAAAAATGTATCACTTTTCATACTTTACGTGGTTATAATAGTTTTTATTTATTTTTTCGATAACGGTGCATAACCTTTTAATGTGAGTGGTATTATTAAAATCGGGAACCAAACCTCTACCAAATAAAACACCTTAGTCCCCCAAATTCCTGACAAAAGATTCTAAATCCAACCCTAAAATTATGTAAAGAAATCTAGAATTAAAGAAATAAGATAAGCATACAATTATGGACATTGAAACGAAAATAAAACAAGACATGAAATCTCTTGGGTGTACATCAGACAGGAAAATAGCGTTAGCATATCAATTATATATTTACTTGATAGATGAAAAACTTATGTATGACACAGAATATTGCTTTAATAAAGATGTCAATTCCCTATATGTAGTTGCAAGACCAAATAAACAAGAAAAATTAAACATATATGTGCCTATTCCTACCAGTTTCGACATCAGCATGGACTTTATAAGTAAAATGCAGGAAAATTTATGTACTGTCGAAACTGGTCCCACGATTAACCTCGCGTTTATTGAAGAAGACTTCACAACAGTTATTTATACATTTACAAAAGGTTTAATTGAACGACCTTCCCTAGAAAGAACAACTCAACTAAAATGTAGAGAAGAGAAAAGGAGATTCATTAGCAGTGAGCTTAAGAAGAATCGGAATGATATTTTAAATGATGCTTTTAATGGTGGTTTTGTTGATGATGATGACTGTGAAATAGTAGAATAAAATATTTATTTGTTTAATCCTTTTTTGCATTCCTTATAACTAAAGAATACAAATGTGGACTTTATGCTTGGAGAAGCTTTTAACCAATCAACCCATGGAGTGGCGAGAATTTGCGCTTAAAACAATTAAGTTATTTTCTAGCATTAATAGTGATGACCATTAACAAACCCACATTTTAACTAACTGAAGATGAATACTGGTAACAAGCTTCAAATAAAAATGTCTATATATGTATTTTTGTCAGCCTTGAGAAAAAGCGTGAAATAACTCGCAACTGGCAAGCAAAGTATTAAGCATTTTATTACGTGGTAGAGCAACACTATAGCTATATTATAGTTGTAGCATGAATGGGTCGCCTTGACCGGGGCAGAACCAGGCCCTCATAGAATACCAGTATAAAATAACAGCGTAATGCTGCTGTGTTTTCGTATGGTAAGTTTAGAGAACCGTTGACCCCTTTTACTGGAATTGAAGCATTTCATCTTAGTCCTCAGGGGTGACAACACATTTGCATTTTGATCCTTAGTTAAAGATAAATGTGGATGTCTCTAGGTCACATCATTCACTTACCATCAGGTGGACTGTGTGCCTGTTTGTCACCAATACTATAAAAAACAGGTAAACCTCCGCTAGATGATGTAGCAATCTGATAAAACATGAATGATGATACAGTCGACTCTTGTTAATTCAAAACTCGTGAGACTTAAAATATCACGAATCATCAAGTGTTCGAAATATCAAATGGCTAGAAATTTTTGAGAGAAAATATATAAAACTTCGAATTGATAAATGTTGATCAATTATTATTTATTAATTGCTATTTCTTAACAATGACAAAAGTTTAGAGGTACATTTATGTACATATTCATAATCTGAATTAATTAATGAAAGAACTTTGTTATGCTGGTTTGTTTCAAAGCACATTGCTGCTGCTCAGACTGCTCGATAACTTTTTTTAAGAGAAAAATTGCTTGTAATTATTTTTCATCACTTTCGTTTTGTAGACAGAAGCTTTTTTAGGTTTTGAATGAGGGTCTTGTTTCCTTAACTGACACCTCTGTCAAAGGTTCTGATGTATCATCCTCATCTTCATCATTGCTTTTTTCATTTGTATCTGTTGCAGATAAAATTTCACTATTGGTTAGTGAACACAGTCAGAAAAACTAACAGCACTGATGTTAACTAGTGGTTCTATTGCTGGTTCTTCATCGTCCATAATTATTGAAAAATTTTCCTGATCTTTTTTTATGAAACCGGATTTTTTGAAGCAGTTGAGAATCAATAAAATGAAATAAGAGTTAGGGGTGTTACCACTCTCCATGCATTGTCAATCAGTAAAATAGCTGTCAGATTCGTGATTTTCAGTTAGCTGCTAGTTGAGAGATTCTAAAACGAGCACTAGATCTACTTACAATCTTTCTGTCTCTTTCTCTCTGCAACTTTAAATTGTCGAGTGTTACATGCCGATGAGTTCGAATCAACGCGTTGTTTTGTTAAGTAGCAATGGCTTTTTTGGTTGAATTACCAAGTGCATTATTAATTTATGGATTTAGTTCGAACTATAAAGAAATTTTGTAGGGAACTTGTGATAACTTTGAATTATAGAGAGGTTCGAATTATCACAGGTTTGAATTAACGAGAGTCGACTGTAATAAGCTCACAATCTGTATAATAATAGCTTTCCATGCCTTCACAAACTAAAAAGGTCATAAATGACTTCGTTTGAAAATTGCCAGAATTATAAAAGGATGGTATCCATACAAATTTTACATGTGGTAGAGCCATGTTGCAACTGTATCATGGTTGTAGCACAAATGGATCAGCTCAACTGGGGAAGGACCATGTTCCCACAGAATACCAGTGTAAAACAGCAGCTCAATGCTGCTGTGTTTCATATGGTGAGTGTAGAGAACTGGAGACCCTTTTTACTGGATAAAAGGCATTCTACATTTGTACTCAAAGGTGACAATGCGTATACATTTTGATTCCTAATCCAGGATAGATGTAAATGTCTATGGACCACAGCTTCCACTTAATATAAAAAAAGGAAACATAGGCCTAAATAGCTATGCCACCATTGAAGTACTTACTTGCTGCTTTGTAGAATATTATTCATTATAATCTCTACATAAATCAATTTCTGTGTCGTAGTCCCACTAAAACTCAAAAATGGATGGACTGATTTTGATGAAATTTTTTTGTGTTTGAGTGGGTCCCTAGGTGGTTTGGATTCACATTTGGTCCCGGTAGGTGGCACATTGTTGTTAAGCGGAACCCTAGTTTTATTATAAAATTAAAAATGACAAACAAACTTAGTCCACCTAATGGTAAAACCATTGGTACTTGCAACTAACTTTAATTAGAGAAGGCTACAGACATGTTGTCACCTTTGAGGACTAAGGTGGGATCAATATTGCCAAGTCTACTGATTTTTCTGTAAATCTATGGAATATTTTCGTCTACGGAACTACGGAATTTCCGTTAAAATATACGGATTTTGATTTCCATCTTAATTAATTTTTTTTACTTCACAGTGCATTCAGAATAATTTTATTTCTAAAAACTTAACAAAAAAAGTAAAAAGAGTTTAAAAAGTTATCATGAATGTGAACTTATCTAACTAATGACAATCGCTAGCTATCAAAAATTTTAACAATTGAAGAAATTTTTTGGGTATTATAACAAATATTTAAGTATTATTTTTTTTACTAAAAACAATTTAATTAAATGAAAATAATTAATTTTAATCATTTTTTATAGTATTTTTTCTTATATTTGCAGCTTGATTTGATGTTATGTTACAATTGAATTTACAACAAAGATTTTAAATGACGGAAAGAATCTCTCCAAAAAATTGATCTTTTCTATGACAAAAACAAAAATTTTTGATCCTCTTAAGAAGTCTGCAGATCTATCTATCTATATGAACCTACGAATTTGTAAAAATTTGAGTTGGTAACACTGGATGGGATTTCCTGAACTCTAATGGCACTCTATACCCTTGAGATTTATTTTTATAGAATAAGGGTCACAAACGAGCACACAGTCCACCTGATGGTAATGTGGCCCATTGACATCTACGTTTATCTTCAATTAAGAATCAAAATGCAGATGCATTGTCACCCCTGAGGACTGAGATGGAATGCCTCGATTCCAGTAAAAACTAAAAAGGGTCTCTGGTTCTCTACACTCATCATACGAAACACAGTAACATTAAGCTGCTATTTTACGCTGGTATTCTATAAGAGCGTGGTCCTACCCATCGGTCATTTGTGCTGCAACCACAACATAGCTGCAGCATGACTCTACCACGTAAAAGATTGAAGCATAAATATGTGAACAGCAGTCTCACTGTTGTATGGTGGACAAAGTAGGTAAGAGCGTAGTACCTACCAGAACAAACTTACCATCTTTATTGCATTTGAATGGCAAACTGACTGTCTGCCTGAAGGTGACTCGCTACTAAAGATCATAGATACCTGCAACTAACTTCAAAAAACGGAGACTGCGTCTATTGTCTCCCCTCATCTTACCCTTCAAATTGGAACGCAGTGGCCAGCAGGTCAACAGATGGATTCCTGGGAAGAAAAGGAAATTAACCACTAAGTGCAAATATAAGATTAAATACTCCTTGTTATTAAATATCATTTATTTATTTACTCATAGTAAAATACTTAAATAAACATAATAACAAAGTGCACACTAAATACCTTTTAGAATAATCTTCCAGTCGACGCGGGATATGAGGAAATAATGTGATAGGTGCCAAAAATAAAAAGGATGTTATGGTCAATCTGAAAAAAACTACTGTTAGCAAACCTGGAATTGAAATGCTAATAATTTATAGACTAATATGTATGTGTATGCATGGGGATAGACTTAAAAAAACGACGGTATTGTAATATTAGAAGATTTATTGTTTATTGTTATTCCATTCGGGGGTACTTGTTTACTTTGTTAATTAATAAAGAAAATTTAATGTACGTAATTTAATATTCACTTATGAGCTTATGACACTTTATCTTTTGTAATGCTACCAAGCTTAATACATAACAATCACTAAGCTCAGTACATTCACTAAGCTCTTTATAAACACTAAGCTCTGTACAATCACTAAGCTCTGTACAATCACTAAGCTCTGTACAATCACTAAGCTCTGTACAATCACTAAGCTCTGTACAATCACTAAGCTCTGTACAATCACTAAGCTCTGTACAATCACTAAGCTCTGTACAATCACTAAGCTCTGTACAATCACTAAGCTCTGTACAATCACTAAGCTCTGTACAATCACTAAGCTCTGTACAATCACTAAGCTCTGTACAATCACTAAGCTCTGTACAATCACTAAGCTCTGTACAATCACTAAGCTCTTTACAATCACTAAGCTCTGTACAATCACTAAGCTCTGTACAATCACTAAGCTCTGTACAATCACTAAGCTCTGTACATTCACTAAGCTCTGTATATTCACTAAGCTCTGTACAATCACTAAGCTCTGTACAATCATTAAGCTCTGTACAATCACTAAGCTCTGAACAATCACTAAGCTCTGTACAATCATTAAGCTCTGTACAATCATTAAGCTCTGTACAATCACTAAGCTCTGTACAATCATTAAGCTCTGTACAATCATTAAGCTCTGTACAATCACTAAGCTCTGTACAATCACTAAGCTCTGTACAATCACTAAGCTCTGTACAATCACTAAGCTCTGTACAATCACTAAGCTCTGTACAATCACTAAGCTCTGAACAATCACTAAACTCAGTACATTCACTAAGCTCAGTATATTCACTAAGCTCTGTACAAACACTAAGCTCTGTACAATCATTAAGCTCTATACAATCACTAAGCTCTGAACAATCACTAAGCTCTGTACAATCATTAAGCTCTGCGTACAATCATTAAGGTCTGTACAATCATTAAGCTCTGTACAATCACTGAGCTGAGTGTGTTTTTTACGTTGCAGCTACGTTAACTATACTTGGCTCGACCAGGGTAGAGCGTGAAAAAGCTGAATAATGCTTTTATCTATGGTAAGCGTAGAGAACCAGCGCCACGCTACAGCTACAAAATGGATGTAGTACGAATAGGTCCCCTATATATATGGCCGCCAGAGGGGGCAGGTGATGTGCTAGCCTAAGGCGCTGTCGACATTTAATCCATCTCATACTCATAGCATTCAATAAATTGCAGTGGAATAACAAGGTATGTTGCCGCCTTGGGCACCTAGAGCAATAAATGCCGCCACGAAAACTTCACCCCATTTTCGAAGTAGGAATCTTAAAAAATTAGACTAGTACCCTTGTAATTATGTGTAAAATGATATATCAATAAAATGTATCTATTAACAGAACTTTCAATACTAGGCGTCCGTAGTAGTCTAGGTTGGGTTAAAAAAATTAACCATAGTATCCAAGATTTTGTGATATTTTAATAATATTATTGAAAAAGTTTTGCAGGGATTATATTCTGCCGTCAGAGGCCATGGCTGATCTCCGCATTGCTGCTTCACTCATAAATGATGTGTATCCGTTGTAAGTTTGTATATACCTATCCCAAATGTGAAGAAAATAAAATGAGTAACTAGTAACGACCTAAAATACTTCATTTTTACCGTATGAAGATATATTTTAATCATTATAGTACTAAGTACCTGCGATGACAGGATTTGTGATGATTTTAGAAACTTCACACAAGGTACCTACTTCATAGGTTGGCACTCCTTTCATACAAATATTATATGTAAATATTTTTTTATTTATATATTCCAGTCATAAGTCAAAGATAACAGTGCATTTTTAATAGGTGGTAGAGTTATCTTTAAATGCCACTAGAGGCAGCACTAGTAATAGATTTTTGTAGAATTTAAACTTATTTTTATCTAAAACATATTTATTCCACCAAATAATATTTCGTACGTTCACAAAAAATAATAATATCTAGTCAATACGAAGAGAAAAAAAGCATTTTTGTTGTATAACTGCTATAGAGCTTTGCGCTCGTTTAATTTTAACTTCTAGACGAACAACCTTGAACGTTATACCAAACTTAGCCTCATTTTTACATTTATGTTTCTTTTAAAAATGCAAGATTCTTCTAGAAAAGGTATTATAGGTAGATACTATATTAACTAAAACCGTTCAGTCATGATTACATATCATCATCATTACAACTTTTCACAAATTCAATGCTAAACCTAGGCCTCCCCAGAGTAATGCCACAAAGCACGGTCCTGAGGGTCGACCTCTTCTCCACTTGAGAATTACTTTTCTCCAACCATCGATTGTTGGTTCTTTGAGCTGTATCGCCGGTCCATTACCACTTCAGCTTACTGATCCGTTAAGCTATCTCGCTATGTCGACTACCTACTTTGGTTTTACTGCGGATATCCTCATTTCAATCTACACAGCATAGCATACACATACACAGTCGAAATTTAATTAAGAAATTTCTAAAAAGTTTGTACAGACGACATCTAGGTAGCATTATTAGTATTTTTAACTTAACAAACTTAAAGTACTGCTATTGAAACATTTCCATTAAAGTTTCAATATTTAACAATAGGTGGCTCTATTCTTAATCACATCAATTCTGCAAATTATGGAACACAAAGGTTAAGCTACAATATATAATATATGGAAACATAATTATAATTCTTTAACTACTCTTATTACCTTAACAAACAATATATAAACAGATAATAATTATAAGTACCTAATACCTAACTACATAAAAGATTATATTATAAAAGCAGGCCTTTTCGATTTTCAAATACCTAAGATAAGACTGCCAGTCGTAGTCGTAGGACTGCACGTCAATAGTATAAATTATAAAAACAGCTTCACAAACTTGTACACATTATTTTTGGGTTACTAAGGAATATTTTTAGGGAGTATTTTTTTATTACAAATTATTTTTATCGACGTTGTAATATACTTAGCAATAAAATTGTCATTTATTGCGCTCTAGAAAGATTATTATACATACAATACAAACAAATTTATAAATACACATCAATTTTATAAAATTTAATCAATTGGATTTTCAACATTACTTTCATAAATTTTGTGTAGGTACCTGACCGTAATGATCTGTGCCGTTAGGTCACGCGAGTTCAGTCCTTTTTCAGTAGGTATCCTAAAAGTGTCCAACGTGCTAAAGAACTTAACACTTCAAAGATATTCATAGGATAAAGCACAACATGAACAACAAAAACTACACTTGTAAGAACAAAATAATTCATTTCTTTCATATAATTTATATTTACCTAGGTTTTAGTTTATTCGACAGATTATTGGCCATTGATAGCATAGAGTACGTAATAAAATTTCACTGAACTTATCATCTGTCAGGATGGCCGAGCGGTCTAAGGCGCCAGACTCAAGGTGTACCTTGCCTATGGAAAATAGGTTTCGGGTGTTCTGGTCCTCTCTGAGGGCGTGGGTTCGAATCCCACTTCTGACAAAAGTATTTTGCTAATGGAATAAGGCATCTTCTTATTTAATTAGAAAACTATATACCAGATTACATTAACTGTGTAGTTATATAATTCTTTGATATATTATACAACATATTTGAGCGAGGTTTTTTTCTTAACATCCACCTCCCATGGATGCCACATGGCAGTTCTCAATTCTGTGAACTGTGGACTAAGAAGAAATATCTCTTTTTAAATGTGGTTTAGGTTTCCGCATCATGTAGATTACGATTACAAAAAAAAAACAGAACAAACCAAAAACAATAACCATAAAACATCTGGTGTACTGAAGACTGAAACTAAAGAAGACTACATCTTTGACAACAAACCATCGAATATCACCGAACCATAGAATAATATTATTCTATGCACCGAACTGCATGAGGAAAAATAATGAAGAAATCTATATAATATAAAAACTGTTGAGACTACATCTTGATAAAATTGTGCATTAGGAAAAATAATTAAGAAATCGTTGATGTTATTAATTTTATCTGAATTTATACTTATACAATTAAATAAAAATAATAATATACATTTTGAAATGCAAAAGGAACATAAAGTTTTCCCGTACCGGGAATCGAACCCGAGCCTCCTGGGTGAAAGCCAGGTATCCTAGCCACTAGACCATACGGGAGATACTAATATTTAATAACTTTTGATTCATAATCAAAATGTAACCAAATTTTATATCGAAATACTATAATCAAGCACAAACCACAAAACAACACGGTCCATCAACGCCGAACAGCACGAGCACTCACGTAGAAACTATTAAACTAACATAGTAATAAGCTATTTAAAATATACGGAACGCCGTACCTTTCAAATAGCTTACTACATATTTTTTTAAAATCTGCGATTTAAAATTTTTAAATCTGCGATTTAATTAATTAACTATATTATTATTAAATAATGTAAATTTATTTAATTAACGTTATTTAATAATACCGCAAGTCATTACGACAAGATTATGCACTACACCCATTTCAATATCGTCAAACCGTAGATTTCGTTAGAAAACATTTGCGATTTTTCATAGGTACCTACATTTCTTAGGCCGCACAATTTTCTTTTCAGTAGATATGTTACATGAGATATCATTAAATTATACTATGTATTACATTTACATACTAAGTCTTTAATAGAGCTTTATAAAATTAATTATTATTAAAACTAATTATTATTAAATTATTAAAATACCTACCAATATCAAACATTCCATTTCACGATAATATTAAAAACATGTTTAAAATAAGAATAACAATTAATTAACAAATACATAATAACAGAAACAACATTATATTCAATGTCATGTCAATTAATAATAAAAATAAAAATGTTAATTATAAGCCTCATTAGAGTTAGTCTTATTAGAGTTATCCCCATTAATTTAAAAATTAGTTCACTGAATAAATTCCTTACACGGTTATGTGATCGATTTCAGCAATCAATTCAATTCTGTATTGGGTCGCTTCGTGAGTAAATAGCCTTGAACTATAAAATGGAAGTAGGTACCTACTTACTCAGACATTTTCAACAAAATTGTCAGAACGTATAATTTTTTTACACAAAAGTTAATAATGAAGATCGGTATAGAAGACGCTGCAAACGAGCATGCCGCTCACCAAGATTGTAAGTGACTACCGCCGTCGCCGCCCGTGAACAACTACATAATCAGCATTTTAAAGCAACATCAAGGGAATTGGTACCTAAGCTCGTTTCAAACAATTCCACTAAGAAGTCGTGCTAGGAAGAAAACTTGTACATCGCACAGTGGAGGACCGTCAAGCAACCCGATGGCGTGGAATCGGGAATTTTGTCGCGATGTGCGTTAGTGGAATTTGACCGCCGGAATTAATCCGAACAATTCCTCTGAGCACTCCCCGGGGATAATGAGATCGCAAATATAAAGAAATGCAACATCTCTTCACTCACGGGACGTTAATGATTTCTTATATTTACGCGAACACCACACATTTGAATAAAACTAGATTTACGTATTTTATCGCTTATATTAACATATTTTATACTCCTGACGTATCAATCAAATCGCCTCCCGTCGTTAGATCAGATTTGATAGACCATAAATACTTGAGAACACTGATTACTGCCAAGGATGTTTCTAAAGGCTATTGAAATTTAAAAAAAACATCCTAATTTCAATAGAAAAGATGTCTGGGTGCTACCATCTGCTTGGGATCCATTTGATGGGAATTCCGAGACGGAACCCCGAAACGGAATCATCAAATTAAATAAATGACAATAAATAAAATTGAAGTGTTTGTAATGTCAAAATAACAGCTTTTTACTAAATGTATATTATGAAAGTCTATACCAACATTACTTATAACTTACTACAATATTTATTAATTTAAAAACATTTTTGAAATTTTTGTCTGTCTGTCTGTTTGTTCCAACTTCCGATTAATTTCAATAAATACACGCAGATGGAGAGAAAATCCGGTACGTATCGAATTCCGGGCGGAGGCCGGGTCGGCGGCAGGACTTCTCGTAGTCCTTCGAACTTCTTAATTTACGACATAGATGTCGCCATATGACTACAATTATGCAAGTAAAATAGATGGTTTTACTTACACAATGCAGAAAGGTTCTCGTATTATTTCTGGACGTAATATTTGATCCAATAATCGTACAAATTATGTGAAAGTTAACATGTTGTGTAGTAAAGTAATCCATAGAGTATCAGCCAGTTTTGATTTTTTTGTAAATTATGTAATGATGACTAACTTGAATTGTATGGTAAATATTTTTTTTGCTTTTATTATTATGAATAAATGAAAGAAATGAATCTATGGTATGACCATTAAACGATGAAACGCAGCCAGGGTTCTTGGCGCGATACCACGGGGAGTAGGACTGTGGGATAAATTTTTTATTATACTGTTTAAATATTGTATACATACATATAATTCAATTTTATATAAATCAATTTTAAATATAAAATTTAATTTCTAAATATAACAACTTGGGGAATTAATTTTGTAATTTCACTAAAGGCAGCAAGGCCTCCGTGGCGCAATCGGCTAGCGCGTTCGGCTGTTAACCGAAAGGTTGGTGGTTCGAGCCCACCCGGGGGCGGGATTATTTTTGGATCTGAATTTCAAATTTATTCGATGGATAACTGTTTTTTGACTGCTTAAAAATAGTTCTAAAACAATATTTATTGATAGAATAGTTAAAACATAATAGAATACTATCTTTGTTCTGCTTTAAATTAGCTTTATAAATTATTAATGTCCTATATCACAATTGTGATTATGGTATACCTAATGCCAGAAAAATCTTTTCACGTGGTTCCGATAGAATCTCGTTTACTAATTTCCAGACTTATGATTAAATGATATAAAATTATAGCATCATAATTATATGAAATGTTTTATAACATTATTTTAATATTATTAAAGTTAAAAAAAATAATTTAATTATTAATACAGCCCATCGCAAGCCCACTACTGCACATAATATGCCTCCCACATAGAATTCTGCAAAGCATGGTCACGGTATATAGATAATATTACCGTGGCATGGTTGTCGCTGCTGGTGATAAGAGGGTGGATTGTTTTCTCGACAAAGGCAAAGTATAACCCACTCTGGTTATATATGCAGTAATCTATGGTATGACTATTAAACGATGAAACGCAGCCAGGGTTCTTGGCGCGATACCACTGGGAGTAGGACTGTGTGATAATTTTTTTATTATACTGTTTAATACATATAAATCAATTTTATATAAATCAATTTTAAATATAAAATTTAATTTCTAAATTTAAAAATTAATTGCGGTGTTAGTCTCGATAAACGCAAAAACGGCTCAACCGATTTATAAAAAAATATATTGTACGTTTGAATGGGTCTCTAGATGGTTTAGATTTACATTTGGACTCGGTAGGTGGCGCTGTGTTCGATATTCAGAAATCACTCGTGCGAAGTAGGGGCGTATCGCTGGAGTTAAATATATATTTTTATTTGTACTAGTTATGTACATATTATGAAATAAAAGTTATTTTTTGTATGGTTTTATAAATATTATGCAGCAGAACTTATTGGAGACTTTCGATAAATTCTACGTCGGGGATATAGCTCAGTGGTAGAGCATTCGACTGCAGATCGAGAGGTCCCCGGTTCAAACCCGGGTGTCCCCTGATTTCTCTTTTTGTGATTTAAAGTTACATTTTGTTAATTGATATCATATTAAATATTTATTCCATAATTCCTTACCATGAGTTCGCGTAGTGTATATATTCTTTGCCATGAGTGAGACTTTTATTATAATTATTGCACTAGTCGGTAGAATCTCATTTTTAAAACTATTTTGTAAAATTACGTTACCATAGTACCGTTTCATAAATGACAAAGCACCATCAAGAGTGCGAAATATGGAGTACCTCTATACTCCATGGTGCGAAATGTTTTGTATGTGACAACGCGCCAAGTACATAGGCTGTACTAAAAGTATCGGGAATGGAATATTTCCACTGTTCCTGTCATATTAAAATCTTTTTAATTGAAAATTCCTTGGTTTTAAAAATCGAATACCATTTATTTATTTAAAAAAAAAGATTCTCGGTCTTGTCACAAAGTTTTGTCAAACTCCACTATGACTATGTACTAGAGATAGATGAGCAACTCAAATTTTATTTACGTTAAGTTCCGTGACCATCCGTCAGATGGCGTAAAATTAAGAGTGCTTTGGGCCCGCCCTTTATTTGCACTTTACAATTTTTTTAATTTTATATATACATTACATTGCATATATTATATATACATACATTATACTTACATTATATATATATATATATATATATATATATATATATATATATATATATATATATATATATATATTAATAATGTAAGTACACTAATACGTACATTATTGTACATATATTATTGCTATGCCAAAGTTAATATATTTATTTCTTACAATTTTTTCTAAGGGATTCTTTACAATTTAAGATATAAATTGAAGGTACGTCTCTCTTTTATAAAACAAATATGGCTTCAATGTCAGTCGCATGGCTCCAATAGTAATACCAAGAAAAACAGTGGTATCCACAAGACTCAACTACTTCCCATTTAAGAGCACGTTGATAATTTAATCCTCTCCAAAGGATTGCTCCTCTTCTATAATTTCAAGTATTAGTATCAATTAATTGTTGCATCTTTTACTTAATATTAAAAGATACATTTTGGAGCAGCATTATTAATCTTTAAAATATGTACTTGAAAACGTTATTGTATTTTGGTAACATAACAATTTTTTTTTAAATGTGTGTAATAACTATACTTTTTTAAAATACAAATAATTTATAAAAGTGACTTTCTTATGCCCACTATACCATTGTTTACATGTGTAAATCAATACTTTTTTCTGCAAAATGAGCATTTTATATATGTATTATAACATACCATAGAATACTTTAATATACAATAGAATGGCACTTCCGTCGACGTAATTACAACCACACATACAAGCAATTACAAAAATTCATATAGGTATGTAATAATTGTAATGATGATCTTTGTAAGACAACCCCACACCAAGCAAATACATCAAATTTATAGTTTCAAGAAAAACGTTTTTGCAACTTTCACAGAACTTCATAATGTGTGGAGGAGATTATAACAAAAATAATTAAAAACATTTGACCAATGATTCCCCCTAAATGGGATATTTCAAGTCATTAAATTGTTAATAAATATCAAATTAAAATTTCCAACATGACATAAACATAAAAAGTAAGGACCCTTATCATTAATTTGTTGATCAAATTAATTGTACATAGTTCAGACCCTCAAAGATTGCATAAGAGATAAAAATAAAAGGCAGACATATTAAAATCAATAATGATAAAATAAAACTTAACTACTAACTTAAACAATGAATTGTTTTTATACAATTTTTATAGATCTTGTATGTTTTCTTATAGGAACCTCCATTAAAAGAATCAAACAATTGATCAAACAGGATAAGTTCATCTGCCGTATCTTCACATTCTTGTGGCAGCAACTTATTTTCTGCAAAGAAATGAAATGTTATGAGCACTTTTTAAATAATAAGAAGCAATAAAATGTTTGACACAAGAGGAAGTACAAGTAAATATGCGATAGAGATATCTTAAAAAAAATTATTTCAACATTGAATATTATTTAACAAGGTATATATACGTACACTTGCACAAAATCGTAAAGCTTCAATTT